GAAAAGCATCTGATTTACTTACCAGTTAGTAAATCAAGATGTTCACCAACAGTAATTAGCCTATTAAATCCTAAATACTCTTTAGCCACTGCACTGGTCACTAGAGACTTTCTTCCAAATTGTGTGGGGATTTTTTTTTTTTTTTATTGCATAAAATTTCTAAATTTCTCAAACACTCATCAATTTTACTTAGGCAGAAACTTACATCTATCTCATAAAATCTTACTAGTTCAGGAACTCAACATTTTGTTTAATATGGAAACATAGTAAAGAATTCAGTAACAACAACATGGAGAAAGGAAGACTGGGAGAGATCTACAGTAAATTAGTTATTAGACATAGATGTATTTCTAACTGGTGAAGATTTAAGACAAGATCCAGACATTTTTGAAGTTATTCAGGCATCCAGTTGGAAGAAACAAGCAACAAGAGAGAAAAAATAACTTGTACAATATCTGATAGAAGATACAGCAATTGAAATCCCAACTGTCATGTTAGGGCTCAACTTCTAAGTAATGCACCATTTTCAGAGATGACTTTTCCCTTTCTTCGGCTGTAGGATTTTTGTAGGACAGCTAGTTACTTGAAAGGCTAATGGCAAAAATCTTGGGAGAAATCTCTGCAGGTCTAAACCTGCCTATTTGTGCTACCAGAATACCTCAAACTTGTTTAAAAAAATAGCACAAATAGAAGCATATTTTTTGCATTTCAGCATAGCAAAAATAATTACAAAAACTACAAAATCTTCCCACATTGAATGGATTCTCCAAAATAAAAAAACAACACTGTCATTCCACAGTATTTTTTTAATCTGTTTTTGAAACAGTTACACATACTCTTGTGGTTACATATATTTTTAAAATAGTCACAAACTTTTATGTTAGCCAGTGAAGCAAATTTCCAGGACAGTATCATGACTTCATAACATTTTCTTTTCTTCTACAAAGATTAATAATCCAACTTCAATAAATAAAATATTAAAACTTATTTTTCAGGTTAATTTTGGTTAATAAGAGGGGGGTTATATTTTTAGATCACATTGGTAACGTAACTCTTCATAGATTTGTTTCTTACCAAGTGTATGCCATCTATAAAGTTACTATTTTTAGGGTACGCTTGCTTATTTTTGCCCAGAGTTACAACTTCAAAGAGACAGCTCCCCCAAAACAGACTATAAAGCACAACATCTGGAAATCTTATCAAAACATTTTTGGAAGTACTATGACAGGAAGACAGTTAACAGCAGAAGGATAGTCGGAGTTTACAACTGAAAGCAGAGTCTGGTATTAGCAATATTTTACTGTAACTGGGCTAGATTTCTTTCTCTTAGTTTCATAAATGCTACATCCTGGCTATACCACAAGTACTCCTGTAATCATGTCCCATACCCTCATGATGCATGCCTGCACTGAGAAGTTATAAAAACTTTCATGAATACAACAAAATCACTCATCTCCTAAAGTCTTCTTACTTTATACTTCTAATATTTTTTTCAAAGCAATAGATGGTTGTTCTAACCTGTTTCACCCTACTGCAAACTTTTTCTCTGTCCTGTTTTTAATTTCAGTATATTCCTGTGTTGCCCATTAATTTCTGTCTCGTTCTCTCTATCGAAACTATTAGAATGCCCCTCAGACACCTAGGGAAATCTTAAATATTTTATTCAAATATGTTTCACATGTCATTGTTTTATTGCAACTGTCCAGTTCCAAACTACCATACTCATGGCATTTCTGTTACTTTAGAAATAGTTGAAAAAAGATGTGAAAAGCCTTAATGATACGAGTTTTTCAAAACTATGTAATTTCAGTTTATATGAAAATACATTTAGATATGGTGATGATGAAACTAAATCTATTTCATTTCAGAAGTTAGAAACTTCTCTCTGTCAAGTCCAAAACTGAGACAATGAAACTGAAATGAAGAATGGTATATTTTAGTATCAACGCTATTCCTGATGATGGCTCTCTTAGAAAAGTTAGAATTGCATTAGAGTGGTAGAAAAGCTATTTACCCATAAACATGTTATCCAGAGACATATTTATTTCTGGGTACCGTGATATGATTTGCATTTTGGTGCTGATGACCTGTGGATATTGCCTGAAGAAGCAGTGTCTGATGTGACTACATGATCATTTCTTGTTGACAGTGGATAAATGCAAATGTGATCCCAAGAGTCTTATTTCTTTTTCATTTATCCCTAACCTCATATAGTACACAGATTTGCATAGATAACAGGGAAGTAACACAAGTGACATCTCTGGCATAAAAACCACCTCCAAAATTTACTTATATTATCTTTGTGTTTGCAGGCATATAGAAGCAGAAAATAGGTTTTCATATATATGATATCATGATAAAATATCTGTGTCTGAAAGGAACTTTTACACAGATTAATCATCAGACTATCCAGAGCTAGAAAGGACCCACCAAGGATCACCACAGCCCTACTTCTGGCTCTGCACAGGGCAGCCCAAGAACCATGTGTGTGTGAGCACTGTCCAAACACTTATTGAACTCTGTCCAACTGGAGCTGTGTCCAGCTCCCTGAAGAGCCTGTTCCAACCGCCCTATGTGTGAAAAACCTTTTTCTAATATTTAACCTAATCTGTCACTCCTTTGGGTCATACCACTGGTCACCAGAGAGGTGAAATCAGTCCCATGAATATGATATCAAGTATCTATCAAACTAGCAGCAGAAAAAATATGCCAGGAGCTGCCCCACACCCTTTCACACCGAGCCCAGGCACCAAGGGTAGGCATTGCAGTTACTACTTATAGTGTTCTCTCAGCACCACAATAATCTCAGAAAGTGATCAGAGGCAAATATAACTTTTTAGGGACAAAAGGCTTCTATTTCCCTCAGTACAATGGTTTTTGCACTGGATAGTGCTGTATCTGTGCCTCTGCAGGAATGGAATAACATCTTAAGGACAGAAAAAAGAAAGTCCCTAGCAGAGACTTGAAGGCAACCTCTGTGACAGAGATCTGGTAAAGTTTCATTAAGCCCATTAGTGCTGGAGGACAGGACATTCAGGGAGGGACGTAAACTTCACGAAGCAAAGTAAAACACACTGATTTAAGTCTAGCTTCTTTATTCTTTCTTCCTCATATTGGAGTTCCCTGCTTTATGGAATATATTAGAAGCTGTTTCACTTCGGAAGTCTTGCTACCTAATGACACAGAAATTAAGTAAAAGTTCATTGTAAATACACTCACGCAATTTAAATTTGAACATTGTTCACTACTGATAACTGTAACATGAACTTCATACAAACACAAACAAATTCGGTGTTCATGGAAAATAATTATTTTCAAGCAGAATGATTCCAAACCTAAAATGCAGTTGATATACTTGAGAACTATAGAGATCACCTGTGAAAGGCTCTATCAGCAGGACTTGCACTCAGGAGTCTATATGGCAAAGCACTTCTCAGAAGCCCCTACAGCTAACACAGCAGCACAAAACTACTTCATTTCACAAATGGGGATACATGAGAGAGGAAGAATGAGCTGTTTTGTCTACAACTACAAAAAATAATTCACCTAGAAAGTAAAAAATCTGAGGTATGATCCAGTCTTTGTATTAACGTTTCATGGCAAAACAGGTACCATTCACAAAGTAAAACATTTTGTATAAGGAGGAAGATTCTGGATGGCAGATCTATTTCCTTTTCTTAAGTTAGGTTATATAAAACCACAGGCAAGCCTCTTTTTAAAAAATATGAAAGTGAATGCTCCAAACAGTCAAAAATAAGAATCAGAGGCTCCCTAACAAATTAAGTACAAAAGAAATTATGAAGGAAAAAACTAGTTAACACTGAGTGAGAAGACAGCCTAATGGTAAGAACACAGATAAGAAGGTAAGCGAAAGCAGATTAAAAGGAGACCCACTATAATGGAAACGTGAAAGTTTGGCAACTAAATAAAATACCAGTCACCTGCTTCCTTGCCCATGGAGATGAAAGGGCGAACTTAGCAGGAAAAAAAAAAAAAGTTGTGGTTTTCTTGGTTGGGTTTGTTTTTTTTTGTTTTTTTGGTTTTTTAAGAAGCTTTAAAACAATATAAAAATGAGGTAAGACCAAAGGGTCACTCAGTTGCTGAAGAACTGAGAGCAATGACCAGCAGTGGATGTGAAAACTGAGGACAAATACTGAAAGATTCACAAAGGAAGGAACTGCATGTCTTTTTTTCTATTTCTCTTTTACACACTATGCTTTACTTATCACAGCCTCTCCAAACAGCTTCAGTACCTCAGCCACAGAATCCATTAAGCAACACTGTTCAAATATATGAGTTTAAACACATTCTCACATAACAAAGGGGAGGGAAGAGACTGTACTGGCACCTAGGTTTATGAAGTATCACAAGATAACATCAGAGAGAGTTATGACAATTATTTTCGCTCTTTTGACAGCCACAACTTTCATCTCCATGTAAACATGTTTGTTGCTTTGAATAACCCAGAACATGCCACCACTTACCAATCCCCTTGGCCTACAGATAGAGTCCCACAGAGCTACATGTGGGCTCTTCAGAAAGAGCCTATTGAATCTATTCTGAGTCACATGGTAGAGATTAAATGTCCCTGTCATTGTAATACAGAAATGGTGTACTCTTATGTTGTAGTAATCATATTAAGGAGATGTTTTGATTTTTGAAATCACTGGACTCCAGATTCTACTGGGACAATCACAGCATAGACAATATCAAGTACCTCATTTGTCACACATATTTTCAAACAATAAGGCTGTCACCAGATAGAAAAGATATTATTATTATTAAATGTAGTATAAGTAATAATAATGTTGTTTATGGTGGTTGTTTATACAATATCCTGTTGGCTGTTGGTTTTAAATACATTTACAAAACCAAATACATATACCACACAGAAAAAAAGATTCTTCTAAAAAGCCATTATTTTACTGCAGCAATGAAATAGCAGTGATTTATTGTATATTTGAGCAGAATTCAAGGTAAAATAATCCCATGCTACTCACCTTGATCTCTTTCATGCCATGTCCTGCTTCCTGCAGCTGGTGAATTTGGAGAAGGATAGAAGTCTCCTGTGGGGCTTGGCTCCATATTTTCATCTATGGAGATAGTTTTGGGTCTTTTGCTGTCGAAGAATTGTGAGATTTGTCAGTAAATATAATATTCATCTAGTAGTGATATATAAACTCTCTGGATCTCTACAAATATTTTAATAGAGAGTAATTCAGGCTACCAAACCCCAAAAAACAAACAAAAAAAACCCCTGGCTATTACAACCTATATTAACTTGCACAGGCAATGTTAACAGTACGTGATGCAGGTATGCACGTGTGTTATTCCCATGACTCAATATGTCAAAGATGGCATGAATGAGTAATATAACAGCCCACAGCATTTCATGGAAAAACCAATAAACCAGTTCCTGTAGTCTGCCAAAGAAAGATTGTGTCATGAAGGTATTAAACTTTATGCAGGAACCCTGAAGTGAAGCAAGTCACTGGAAAGTGCTACCAATAAGGCCAAGGTAGAACAGGAACTTTTGTGAATGTGTTAATAAGGAAAAAATATACTTTATTTCATCAGGTCAAACTCCCAAGATTTTCAAAGACGGCTGGTCTGAAACAAACACTTTTCATTTATGACTAGTTTTATTAAAAATAACAAAAGGCCCATATTTCAAGTCACACTACATAAAATGAGGCAGAACTTCAATACAGTGGAGGAAAGTGAAGTTTCTTCATAGCAATATATACTAACGCTGTTATACTGACTACCAAAAAAAACCAGAGTAAGGTTTTAATGGTGTGGTATTATTATTATTTATTATTACTATTATTATTATTACTGCTACTACTATTACTACTACTACTACTACTACTACTACTACTACTATAACTACTATTGCTACACTGTGATAATTAATCCATCTATTCTAATTAATCCATCAATTTCTAAAATGTATTTGGCATACTACCAAGCTGAAAATATGATGGAGTGAAATACAGGAACATGAGCAAAATAACTCAGAAGCATCAAGTGCTGGTGGAAGAATACCTCAGCTGCCTTATAGTCCTATTAAATCCTGTCCCACTGTGCAGACTCTTCCTGACTGACAGGTGCAGAAATGTGGGACAATGACAGCTCCTATAGAGCTTGTGATTTTATGGCATAGCAGACAGTTTCAGAAAACCACGGTTCCCTAGGGGTCTGACAGACAGTACTTTATCTGGGAGTCAGGAGGAGGTCACAGCCCTACATCTGTGGGCCCACCAGCTGCTCCCAAGGGAGGAAATGGGACTTTTTCTCAGATGGGAGAAGGGAGCATGCTGAACAAGGAAAAAGTCAGTCCCTCAGATTAAACCCCCTGTAGAGTCTCCCAAGGGAGACTCTTGAGAAAAATCAAGCTGTAACTATCTCACGTGCTCCTCCTTCTTTCCACTCTGTTGGGAAATGCTGCCTGAAAAAGTGAGGCATGAAACACAGTTGCATGAGCTGGGCTGTTATGGATGAAAACACATTGTCTTTATATACCTGTCCTAACACCTTTTCTACAGGAAATGGTATCTGTCCAAACATATCTTGCAAGACAAAGGTCCAAGAGGGAACCCTGAAAGACAGCCATTCTGCCTGCAACCACTCTGAACCCTGCCAGCATGTTCCCAAGTGCTAAACCTTCCTGCAGCACAGCAACACTTTTGGGATGTGTAGCTGTCCTCCTGGCAAGATGATCAAGTGGGCACTTCAAACCCTGAAAAAAGTTACCAGCGTCTTCAATGTCATGCAAGATGACAGGCAATAACGACAACATTTCAAATGACAAAATTTATACTTTACAAGTCTGTACAGAGATTATGGCAATATACACAAGTAGCTAGCCTCACAAAATCAGAGGAAATTAACAAAGCAGTTGATTGTTGACAAAGATTTGTGAATTGCTTGTCCTACACTATTAAACATGGTTCACATTAGCCCTTTTTTCAAGATTTTACCTGCTTGGTGGAGAGGACAAGGATCTCTGTAGATTTACACCCGAATTCATATCATGGTAATATGGCTGGCTTGGAAGCTCTCCAATTGGGAAGTTAACTCCACTTCCTTGGGTTATGGGTGCTGAAAAACACATAATACAAAATCAGAGAAAATCTTCTATCTTTTTAGCTATCTTTTCTTTTTTAACTCTTGGAAAATGTCAAGATGTTACTACATATACCTGATTTTCTGCCTCTTCTGGAAACCAAGTACAGACAAGTTGCATCAATGATTACGTATCTAAGAAGTAAATTGTCTTCTCTAGTACTCTACTTAGCAGTTATGTAGATAGAATTCATTTATTTTATAAGAGATAACATGGAAACACCAATATGGAAAAGATAATACAAACCTTAACCACTATAATGAATGAGGCCAGGTTTATGAGGACAGCTAGTATTATTTATTAAAGAACTGAAAAAATTGAAAGAAGAAATTTAGATACACACTATTTCCTTTTCCTTAATGTTAACTCTTATGTATTAAAAATAGCCTTTTGTGTTGACAGCCTGGTTTTCTGCCTTCTTTTTCTTTCACTCGGTGCCATAGGTTGTGCTTTGCATATCTACACCTACATACCTTCACCGCCCTAAAGGGTCTGTGTACCATACAGACTCTGGTAATTCAGGAATAAATTATGTATTACATACTGTGGTGTATTTACCTTTGTTCATTGTCTGTGCATTGTGCATTTTAACTACCTTTGGCACTTGAAAGAATAATTGCACGTTGTATGAAGTATTTGAAGGTTTGTATTTTTCCTGACAGTTTAAGTACAATTCTGTTGCGGCTTGAGGTTAAACAAATGCATGGTAAGAAATCCCACAGAAACCACATCCTTTAATGCTTATTGTTAGACATATATAATGTATAACAGCTCCATAATGCAGAGTTTCATAGCATAATTACAATATTGTTTCTTTCTTAACCTGAATGGCCTTATACTTTAAAATTTATTTAACCATCTGACAACAAAAAGAAAGCTATAATTCACACATCCTCAGCTTTCTAAAACAGCAAAACTATATCTTAAGCAGGCACAAAAACGGTTATGCCTTAGCACTGTAGGATTGCAATGCTTACTATTTTGCTGAAGAATTTAACATAATTTTAATTCTTGAATATTCATTTCTGACCACAGAAAATGAAATAACCCATGCATCTGAAGCCTCAGAAAGTAAACTAAATTCTTCAAGCAACCTGACCTTGCAGAAGTTAACATCTGTGCTAAATATAGACAGTCATTTTAGAAATTTTGGAAGCCTCTTTGACTTTATCCTCACTCACCAGAAAAGTGATTTTTCTGGACCATTCAGTCTTTACAATGTTGTATCATCACTGTGGATGCTTCTAACTATAACTTTCAACTATTCTTCTCTACTTCCTAATGAAGTCTTGAGAGAAATACTTTAATAGGTGTTAATAGTAAAGGGAGAAAAAAAAGGGTCAGGAAGCAATGCAAAATGAAAATGTGGACATGTTTTATGCTATACTCTTAAAACAATTATTAGATGTCAACAAAAGAGAGCTTATATTCTTTTTTGTTTTTCATTTTGCAATCAAAGCTTCACCTGTACTTTTATATTTAATTTTATGAAGGTTTTTACCTGTTCATGTGTGTATAACATGACATATCTCTGATGTCAAAACAAGACAATGTCATTAGAAATTCAGTTACAGCCAATGCTAAGACTAAAAGAAACACAAATATTTCATACCTTGTTGATCATCCTTTATATCCATACTGTGATTTTTATTTTAAGAGCTACAAATTTAAAAAAAAATAAAATATTCTGATCTTTCTGCAATACCCAAGGATGCATAGGGCATCCTTAAAAAACTGTTAAGTCTAACCATAGGTTTTGCTGCAGATGGTAATTTTATTAAAACATCAGACCACTAGGTGAGCAGAAGGAGATATAACAAATTTATTCCATCTTTAAATATCAAAGAGATAGAAGAGATATTACAAACATGTGCAAGATGTACTGTAAAATATATCAAAATTGTGCATGTTTATAGGCATTTCCTATGCATCTTACATCTTGTGGAAAAAAAAAGGTTCAAGGAAAAAGCCTTCACTTGATTACAGCAGGCTTTGGAAACAATTAAACACAAATGTTAACTTACTTCTTGAGACCCTCACAAGTTCTGACACATTGAATACTCCGGATTTCACAAAACTGTCCTCAAGGTACACTGAAAAAGACCACAAAACCATAGTCAGTATAATGAGAAGATTAATAAACAAGTATCTATCTATAGATAGATTTATACACTAGCTAACAATGGTAATAATAGTGTCCCAAAACAATAATAGACAGATCAAACTGCACCCAAAGCTGACTGCAGAATCTAATGTGAGCTGAAACTCAGGCAAAGGCACAAAAAATTCTTAAGGATCTGCGATAGAGCAATTTTTTAAAAGTATGTGAAAGCTAACAAGCAATACACCTAGTCCCTAGCTATCCATCAAAAAAGCATCTGAGAACTTGTTTTTTTCACAAGTCTTGAAATTTTAAGTCAGTATTGAACTACAACCAGTGTCAGCTAGATAAGCTATTTCCCTATAGAACAATTCTGTCCTTGCATATGTTTCTGCTGAAGAAATTTTTATTTAATTCTCACCTTGCTGACTGTGAGTTTACAGTAGAGCCTGCATTACTAAATCATTATCTCTGAGGCACATGAGGGGTTTGCTATTATATCCATGAAAAACAGGAACTGAACAAAGCAGCTAAGCTAATAATTTGGGGTGTGTTTTGTATACACACTGAATTGCATATCTAGAAACCTATGTTTAAGAAAACAAAGAGTATTGTTTTGGCCTGTATTTACTTATTTTAAGATAAATGTATTTGATACACATTCTCTGTTGTGAAATTCAGGCATAAGTTGGAGTATTGCTCTGAAACAGCATCTGATAAGCCATATCTCAGTAGTGTAACTAGTAACCTTATGCAAAGAGAGCTAAGAAACCCATGTTTCTGTGGAAACTTCATATCAATAATCACTGCAAAGGCTATATTAGTGAATTTGAGATTCCATAGCATCATGGTTGTTATTACAGGTAGTAATTACAACCATTTACAAACAAAAGTATTTAGATCTATACTTGGTGCAAATTGCTGTTTCATCAGTGTTACTTTTTAACTTTTTTTCATGTGAGACAGTGTACTAAGAATTTCTTACTGTAGTTGCTCTACAGTTATTCTGAATGAACACAGTTCTTTTTCTTTTGAAAATAAATTGTCAATTTTCTCTTCCCCACTGTTTGAAGGAGTAAAAGTATTCTAGATGTCTTAACTACAAAACAAATAAGTACTATCTACTTATTTAGAAAACAGTGGTTTGATACCAGTCTCTTTGGATTTCTTTTGTAAATTTCTGGTTTTATCTTCAAGTGATTTAGCAAAAACATGGCTAATATAATCAGAAAAGTAACTGTAAAAGCAGTACATTTTACCTGAGAGGTCTGTCCTTCATATATCTGGAGACACCTCTACTCACTTTCTAGGGTCAAAAAGAGGGCAGAGGCAAAAGGAGTGGTTTTCCCTGCTTATTAGTCCCATGGAGCTGCCTCATCCAGTGCCCTGATATTGTTTATCAGTGCAGGTATAAACAGTGCACCAGAGAGCATAAGCTGAAAGAATAGGAACCCATCTGACCAAGCACATTTCTCAATATCTCTGTTACGCTGTCAGACCTATAGGAGAATGTCAGTCTTTCCCAGCTGAGAACCATCCCATGACCAAGCACCACAGGTGTACAGAGCACTGCAGGCCTGTGGAATCATCCTGAACAGTGTTCTGCCAATGCAGTCATCTTCTCTCAGTCAACATCACTTCACACACTATTCCTGCATGTCTGTATTGCCACTAGTAGTTCTTCAGGTCTCCTTTCCTTTTTAATTCACTTCCTTTCATATTTCTCTGTCTCTCATTTTAAACAGATTTTCTCCATATCCATTACTTTGTCCTTTCTTACTACCCTTCACCTGGATATTGACAGCTCATCTGCAGTGTCTAAGAAATGAAAGATTTTCTCTTTAATTTTCTGCATTCTCTTGCACTGTTTCTCCATATTTTTTGTGTGGATGAAAACATAACATAGCTTCTGAAACATTTACTTCTTTATTTGACAGAACTTGGTGTACTGATGTAACAAAAACATGCAAACAGTAAATTTTTGATTTTCCTTTCCTAGTCAGTTATTGGTTTTTAATCTAAGATCAGGCAAGCTGGATGAATGCTACTAATTCCTCAAGCAATGGCAATCTTTCCCTTTTCTGCTTATTTCCTCCAGCAGGAACAATCTAAAATTACTACATGGAACGGAGATTTCCAAGGAGAAAATGCTTTCTTGATTTTAGTTGGCTCATAAGTGAAGTGCGGCATAAAGCCCCAGTGTACAACCATGCAGCCAGCTCTGTAGCTGGTAATGAGACATGACTGGACTTCTCTGCTGTTTATCTGAGCACAACTACTTTGAATGCCAGAGCAGTCTCTCATTCAAGGCAGACTAACTTGAGTGAAGCTTTAGCCAACTATAAATTAATCAAGCTATCATTATAGTGAGAACAAGACCCAAGGTTCATATTAAAAGAAGAAAAAGCCTATGTTTGATTTTATATGTAAGAATGCAGATGTGTACATGTGTTCATGCATACATACTCAGATATATATGTTTAAACTTCAGTCTACTTACATGGATTACTAGTTTTTCTCACTGACAATATTGAGAATACATACATAATATAAAGAACAATAGAATGTTTCTCTCCTTGTGATAATTAAATGGGAGCAGGAAAAGTATTTTGCCATCAAGTGCTACCACCATCTCTCATCCCCTCACAAAAGGATGTATTGTTGACTGATGGGACTCATCCAGGTTTCATCCTTCCTTGGAATGGCCAAAAATAATGACACCCACAGACATATGCAAATTCTTTGGTTGGCATAAGGAAAGAAAGGGAAACTGCAGCTATTTTTTCTCTATGTAGTGTGACAAATTATTATCAAATAATTAATTCAAAAATAAACAATCAGTGTCATAGCACTGAGCAACTTCATCCTAAGCTTTATGTTCTAACAGGGAAGGTGGACTCCAATGCTGACTCTGGGTGCATGTTCAGGTCCAATACCAGTGAACTTCAGAAGTTTCACCTAGTTATGAAGATGAGCTGTGGTGAGCATGTTACACAACTGTTACTTGGCTCCCAGCTGTAGGAGAGGGAAATATTCTGTGCCATTATAATGCTGTAATTTGTTGTAGAAATATACAGTCTACATTAGACAGAAGTTAAACAGCAAAACTGTATGCAGAAGGTAAGCAGTATAGGACATATTCTGTATATGTTGTGAGATACTGCCTTTTACCTAATGAAGCTGATCACACCACTGAATAAGACTTAACATTTATATTCACATTATGACATTTCATGCAAGAAAAATATATGTAGCATATATTAATATACTTCATACAGTATAGGCCATACTGGTTTTTTGATTGTCATTTGATTTATGTTAATATGTTAAAGAGCCTTAAATTAGTGTGTGTTTCTGATCTATTCAGTACAGACAATAATGCACTTGATATGTCTATTGTATTCCTCACAGACAATTTGCTGTATCTTTTGATGGTGGTCATTGTAACACTTTGCTGTCTTTGTCATTCAAACATAACAAAAGCATTGAGTATTGTTATTTAATAAAATTCATCCTTCCTGAGAGATGGCACTCTGAAATGCATATTACTTATATTATTCTTAAAAATCTGATCTCTACAAAAGGAGAATGTCTGACAAAACTTCTGTAGCAAGATCTTGTATAAAAAGTCAGTAACATCCAAAACCCATATATAAAAGTGGATTTTTTATATTTTTCTCCTAGTTTTTGTACATGGAGACTATAAAATCTCTTTCTCCTTACCTTTTTCAAAGAAAACTCACTGATGAAAAATACCCTTTCCATACAATTCCACAATGACCAGGCATCAACAATGAATGAACAGGTTAAGCCAAGTAGCAGTTCTGATCAAGCTCCCATACACAGTCAGTAAAGGAAGAAACCTTCAGCAATGCCTCCAATTGCTCTAGTCCTTGCACCTCTCCCACTCTATTTCTGCACTGTGCCTTGTACTACACCTTGAGGAGACGAGATACAAGCGTAGCTTTTCACTGTTCTAGCCATGCCAGAAGTTAAAGGGTTAGGACGGGGGAGGAAATAAAGTAATTTCAACTGACTGAAAAATTTCAGTTTGCTGAAACAATTATTCTAACTAGCTTGTTCTCACATTACTTAAAAGCTTACAAATGACGTTTAGCTTTGAAAATTTTTAACCAATCTTTTTGTGTCTTCTGATTTAATTGTACTTTTATGAACAGAATGCCTGTTTATGTTCTGCTGCAAATTGGCTAGCACCTAACCATAAAACTGTTTCCTGGTACAATTATAAATATAGTTTTTACATTGATACTGCCTTGCTTTTGAGCAACTTATAAAAGAAGGGTGAGGACCCAACCAGTGCTGGAAACAATTTGTATTAATATACTTTTACTACTGGATCTTTAAAAAGAGGAATTATAGAACAGCAAATAGACTTACTAGCAATAAGAAAAATACATACAATATCAGGAACTACCATGAAAGGCTGAAAACTTTAGCCTAGTTTATAAGATACAGCTGTACACAAACTTTAAGTTATGCAGGGTAATGTTCTGGATGCTGCTAGCTACAGCTTTGTACAGATTCTATCTACAGTCAGAAGTGGTAATGAAAAATTAGTCTCACACTGTTCATAAGTTAAAATACAGTCAGCAGACATACAGTTTGTTTTCTTGTTACTGCATGCATTGAAACCAGAATCTGAAAAATAGTACCAGAAACAGAGTATCTTAAAGACCAGTATGGTTGGCTAGTATTTGCCAAACAGTGACAAAGATTTCAGTAATGCTATCATTGAAACAGTTGAAGTCTGCCTAGAGAAATAGGCTATTTTTGTTATCACACAACATTCTGCAGTCATGTAGCATACCCACAGCTCCGTTTGCATTCTTTTTTCCTCAAAGTTGCAATAATGTTGTAACTGGGACAGGAAACAAACTTGCAAAATCATCTCCTGACTCCATTGAATTTATAGCAGGATTAGGAACTAAAAAGCCAAATGTGCCATTTTCATAAACAAATGAGATTTTTGAC